GGTGTGTCCCTGTGTGTGTGCACAAACACAGCGCTGCTGTCACTGTTCGTGTGTCTGTGTGTGTGCACAAACACACTGAGAAGGCAGCATGGCAGAGCACCAGGTACCTGCTTTCCCCTCCATGTTTTCATAGCTACAAACCCTTTCTCCTTGCTCATGAGACAGAAGCTTCAAGCTCAGAGAGGAGGAATTTCACCAAGAATCCTCTGCCTCAAATATCGTAGGAAGAGGCATGTGAGATGAGCAAGAAGACATTTTTATATAATTTTGAGATCATAATCTAATCACACCCTTTCTCTCTTCCTTTTCCTCCTTCTCAATCTTCCTATATGCCCCTCTTTGCTCTCGTTCGGATTCATGGCCTCCTTTTTCCCTGTTACATTGTATACTTATATGTATATACACATATATTGCTAAATATAACCTGTTCAGTCATGTAATGGTAGCATGGAGACCTTTTAATCAAAGCTGAACCAGATGTGGTGGCATATGCCTAGAATCTTCGTATGTGGGAGGCTGAGGCAGGAGAATCTGGAGGCTGAGGTCGGTCTGGGCTATACAACAAGATGTTGTTTTAAAAAGAAGAAAAAAAGAAAAGAGGCTCAAGCTCACCTGTGTAAATAAGATGTGGGCTGTTGCCTCCTAAGAAGTGGGCCCAGTATCAAGCTGTTGTAATCTGGAGTTATCAATTTTACAGATCTTAACACATGCACACATACACACAGAGACATAGAGCAATCACGCTATGAAAGCACACCCATACTGTGGCCACATTATTCTAACAGACAGACAAGCACGTTTTGGGAAGTGGTAGAAGCCAGGGAAGCACAGAGGTGGTCCCGTTAAGGACCAGATTAGCAGAAGCTGCAAGAGGAAACAAAAACAAAGAAGAAGAATATATAGTGTCTTAGAAATGATGGGGAAGAGGCATCTGGATCCATTGTAGAGAACAAACAGCTGGAGACGTAGGGAGGGGAGTGTGGAATGGGAGTGGGGGCAGGAGCATGCGTCTAGAAACCATGGGCTTTTGGAGTCTTGTTTGTTTTTATGTTAGGTGTTAGATAGCCCCAATTTAAAAGGATTACTGTAAAAGGTAGTCCAAGGGCGTTTGAAGATTTGGCTTCGAATTGCAAGAACCCATTTAGAAGCCCATGCCAAGTGTGTGTGTGTGTGTGTGTGTGTGTGTGTGTGTGTGTGTGTGTTACCATTCCATCAGTTTTCTGGACTCTATGGACCCTGAGATGCTCTGCACTTTAAGCAGGGATTATATTGTACTCTAGCCAAGAGATGGAAGTCTGTTTCTGTACCTTGTTGAGCGGCGAGTAGCCTGAACAGAATCTGCGATGCCTTACCTGGGCTAGGTGCTGTTGCGTTGCTGACAAATAAGACCCCAGCTCCTATGTGAGATGTGGACGGATAACCAAGGATGATGCCGACCTGTGAGAGAATGGAGCCGAACTGCCTGTCTTTCCCAGGGCTATCAATGTCTGGAGTCTGGCAGCATGCGGAGGGAAAAGAATCTTGGGTCACCCAGGGCACTTCCCTTCCCACCTTGTTACTGGAACTTGTGCTAGATCCCAGCAGAGAAAGAGCCACCCTCTATGGCCCTCTCCTGTTCTTCATAGCCAAGGTTGGCTCACTTGCCTTTTGTACTGGACCCGAGGGAACACACGTTTGTGATACCTGGACAGCGATGGAGATGCTGGCGGATGGGGCTAGCTTCTGTTCCTCTGTGTACCCATCCTTCTGTTCTTTGTTTAGAATCTGAGAATGTTGTTTCTTAAAAGAAACCCAGGGACTGTTTGGGGGCAAACACACACTCCTTGAAGGGTTTAGAAAATCAAGACCAGGGAGACGGGAGAGATGGAGGCCACATAATTTGTTGGAATGCATTTGAGCCCTTATTACGTTCTCTGCTTTTCTTATCATTGCAGGATTGAGTTCCTAAAGGGAAGAGGTCTGGAGACACTAAGGCTGGCATGCAAGAGTCCTACTGGGTAGTGCCTTGGGAACATACCTGTCATGGAGCCAGAGTCAGGACTGGCCAGGAGAAGTGATGCTTAGGTGGCTACCACAGACACTTCTGCTGGCCCCACAGGATCTCCAAGGCTGCAAGCTCTAAATTAAAGAAAGACATGAGACTTTTTGTCTCCATGGAGACTAGTCATTTCCTACTGGGCAAACGCAGTTTCCAGGGAAAGGTTGTGTTATGAGTTGGGGTGGGAATGAGGGCCCTGCGACATGGATGGAAGATCTTGTTGTCATGTTCCTTTACCCTCCCAGTCATGCTGAGGTTTGAACTTAGGGGAACGTGAATCAAACCAATTCAGTCTCCAGGGGCCAAAGTGAAGGCAGGCACACCAGAGAGGACAGAAAAGGTGGTTATGGAGGCTGGTAGACATCTAGGTCTGAGGTAGCCCTAGAAACCTGCCCAGGAAGCCCATAGCCCCTGAGGAAGGAAGTGCTGTCTCTCGGCTGTGGGGCCTTGGAAGCAGCGGTGCAGGGTGAGGAAGGGAAGTGTTGCTGTTATTGTTTGAGACAGAAACTTGCTTTATTGGTTCACTCTGGTCTTCAATATGTCATCCTCCTGCCTCAGTCTTTCAAGAATTTGATGTTTGACAAGTACCATTACAGCCAGCTCAGAGGGGCTATTTTCTAAAAACTTGCTTATTTGTTTGTTTATTGTGTCACGCGAGCCTGTGCGCACACACAGACACACAAACGCACCCACATGCATGCATGCATGCACACGCATGCCCCGTGCTGTGACAGATGTTTGGAGGTTAGAGGACAGCTTGCAGGAGTCAGTCTCTCTTTCCACTGTGTAGTGTAGTTCCTGGGGATAGAACTCAGGATGTCAGGCTAAATGACCAGCACCTTTATGCACCTTTCTGGCCCCATGGGGACCATATTGATTGTCTCCAAAACTTGAGAGAAGCCAGCCCCTCTCTGTCCAGCAGCCAGCAGCAAGGGAACAGGCAGTCCAAGCCCCTGGGGAGCCCTGGCAGAGCACCCTTCTGGCTTATCCCCTCCCCCTACTTTCCATTGCCTTTGTACTTTTTCCCCCTGTAATTTGTTGGAAACTGATAGTAGTGCAAATGACCCTGGCCCCACAGAAATGCAAATAGTTTTACCTAGCAGCAACCTGGTTGGCCATTGTATAGTGGATAGGACTGTTTTGTGTATATTTGTGACTTTACCTCAGCTGTCCAGATTATCCTGACAGGTGCAGTCATGATCTGCTCTTTAGATCTGGCTGTAATGTCTGGCCGCTTCTCTTATTAATTAGCAAGTTAAATAAATCTCTGACACATGCTAATGGGGGGGGGCATGAATTAAGGTTAGTTTTCTCCCAGGTTAGTTCATTTAAAATGAGAGGAAGTTGGCCATCACTGTGCAGACTCACTGAGATGGAAGGAGGGGTGGTACTGCTAGGGCTGACAGAGGGATTTAGTTCAGCATGTACTCTGCAATCCTGAGCCAATAGCAGAAGTTCTAGCCTCATCTGCTTCTTCCCTCCTTCCTTCCTCCCTCCCTCCCTTCTTTCCTTCCTTCCTCCCTCCCTCCCTCCCTTCCTTCTTTCCTTCATTCCTTCCATTCTTCCTTCTTTAGTCCTTTTTTTTTTCCTTCCTCAACAGGGAGCATCCACCTAAGATTTAGCCAGAACCAATACAATGTGAGTTAAACTGTGTTACTTCAAAAAACATTGAAATCTTAACTCTCAGATCCTGGGACTATGATCTTAGAAATGCAATCTTCATAGATGGTAAAGTCAAGATGAGGTCATTAAAGTGAACCTTCAATTGTGCCCTTTAGAAGGGGGTGTTTGAATGAGTACATAAATTGTAAAGGTGATAACAGAGACAGGGGTGATGGATCCACAAGCCAAGGGCAACCATTAGGGGCTGGGAAAGGGGCGTGGGTCAGATTTCCCTCACAGGACTCAGAATGAACCAGCATTGCCACAACCTCGACCCTGAACTTCCCACTCCCCCAAACCGGAGAGAATAAATTTCTGTTGTCAGTCTGTGCTAGGAGACCACCCAAGGCTCCCAGAGCTGTGTGAAGCACACACCACCAGCTTTTGGCTGGTGACTCCGTTTGCCATGAAGAGTATAATTAGGATTATAGCGTGTTACAGGGACTCAAGCACTTCAGATACACAGCTGCTACTCAAGTGGGGAGACTCTTCATCGTCTAGGCTGTAGAACTCTCCAGAAAAATATGAAATCCAAAATAGCATCTAGCCGCAGTCTGACATTGTGTAATTACAGCCTTCAGCTTGTTGTAGGTAGAAAGAGACCCTCACTGTGTCTTCATAAAAGGACAGATCACGGCTTGAATGGCACCCGGTTACAGTGTCCTTCCTTCCCTAATCAGAGTCATCAGACACCGCACTTAATTAAACCCTCTTCCCCACCTCGGGGGGGGGGGGGGGGGGGGGGGCGTCTGACAGGTTCCCAGAGTGATTAGGAAGGTTTCCAAATGGGGCTGACTGGCTGGCTTTCAACTTCAGCCAGGAGGCAAGGGTAGTTTACACACACACACACACACACACACACACACACACACACACGCACACGCGCATGTGCGCGCGCACATACACACAACCCTACAGATTAATTTTAAATGTTATTTTTGTGAAACTCTGGTTGGTCCAATTTTAAAAGCAAGACCACAAATACAAAAGAAAATCCAGGAGAACTTGGAGGGGAAGTGAGATGTGGGCAGGGTCACTGTCTGCTCTGTGAAGGGGTTGTTCTCTCAGACGTTGGCGGGAGTAGGCCGAGTAGGGTGAGCCTGCAGAACTAGCCTGTCTAGTCCTTCTAGCCTAACTTCTGTCTGTCAGCAGTTCTCGCTGCTGCTCAGTGCCTGAGTGCTGCCTGGGTCCCTCGGACTGGGTCCACACTGGACGCAGCTGGAAAGGTCTGAGCAGAGGCTCTCCTGCAGCTTCTCAAAATTGCATGATGGGGAGCCCAGCAGAGCAGGAACAGAGAATTAGGAGTCTTCATCCTCATTGTCCAGATTTACTATTGAGTCCTTACATTCAGGGGTATTTCTTCTCAACATCTCATTCCCTAAACATCCTTCTTTTAAAGCTGAGAGGTGAGAGAGACGCTATTCTTGGGACCCTATAGACAGAAGTTTCTGTTCTGCCTGGTCCTGCAGCCATTCAGTCCCAAATAAACACACAGAAGCTTATATTAATTACATAGTTAATATGTAATTAATATTGATTATATTAATATTATTAATTATATAATATATTATATTAACTATTTGTCCCATTAGTTCAGACTTATTATTAACTAGCTCTTACAACTTAATTTAACCCATGATTCTTGTCTATGCTTAGCCACGTGGCTTGGTACATTTTCTCAGTGAGGCATTTTCATCTTGCTTCCTCTGCATCTGGCTGGTGACTGCATCTCTCTGCCTTTCCTCTTCTTAGAATTCCCTGAGTCTGGTTGCCCCACCTATAATTACTGCCTGGCTACCGGTCAATCAGCATTTTATTAAACCAATATGCATAACAAATCTTTACAGTAATACAAAGGCATTATCCTATAGCAGGACCCAGCTTGAGGTGACCATAGAAACAAAAGAAAACAAACTTGATCCCATGTTGCACTCTGTAAGACCTAACACCTTAGTATTCAGCTGGAGAGGCATAGAAGCACTCCTGGAAACTCTAGGGAACTTGGGACATCGGAAATCCTTTCTGCCATCTCTAATCTTCTGCCTGGGAGCTCACAATCAGGCTGGGAATGGATCTCTCGCTCTCTTTGCCTTTGGGACCCCATAAGGCAACGCCTCTACCCATCTGCTACTGTGCCCAACCTGGCAGGATGCCGAGGTCAATGGAAAGATGTCAGTGTTTCTCATGGCTACTACAGCTGCCAGCTGGTAAGATGACTGCTCTGATGTCATTGTCACCACTGTCTGGCAGATTTCTGGGCAGGCCTGATGAGCAGGTTCCTTTCTAAACCCTGTCAGTCTTGGTCTCTGCACAGGTTTCTAGTTCAGGTGTAACTTACCAAGAAAATATGGTCTGGGGTGGCTCAGCCACAGCGACAGTCAGCAGACAGTGGTGTGTTCAGGTTAGGGCCCCCAGCTCTGGCTATTATCCTGTGACAAGGGAGAAGCGGCCGTGATGACAGAAGGGTGGCTCTTTCGTGGGGCTGTCCCCATCAGAGTGCCTGCTCACCTCCTCACAAAAGAGATAATAGACAAGGTATTTGCTTTTCTTGGCGCAAAGCAGAAACCATTACCCGTGCCCTTCTGACACATAGACTTAATGGTGCCAGTCGACTGGCAGCTGCTGAGTAAATATTTACATCCCTCCAAAAAGAACCAAATTGGACAGGTCACTGTGTTCTCAGAACAGAGACCTTCCCTGCATTTTCTCCTGTTGACTGGGAGGAAGATTCTGAAACGGTAGGTGTTATCTACAGGGGAGCCTTGCAGGCAGAGGTGGTTCAAGCTTGACGAGGTGACATTTTATGAAAAGTCAGGGACTTTTGGGAGGAGCTGGGGAGGGACTCCAAATGAGATTTTTTTTTTCTTTTGTAAGAAAAAAATTTCTGGTACTGGCTTAGCTAATTATTATGCTTCGGTTTCCAAAAGAAGTCACTCAAGAATGCGGGTATTGTCCAGGTCTGTAGATTTCGCAGTCCTAAGAGGAAACCAAACCTGCATGAAATAGAGGACCCAGTGTTTATTCACCTTGCCTGGCACTCTGGACTGCTAGTTGGACATCCCCCAAAGGGGACGCTCCTGGCTTGAGAGTAGCACTGTGTTGCCAGCACCTGCCAATCAAGATGCGATGAGGGGACAGGGCCCGTGATTGTTGCTTTAACAGAGGAATTATTATATTAACAACCTGTGTTTGCGTAGAACTCATCGTGTAGCGAGCATTCCATATTGCTCTGTGTCATTCAAAATCATCACAGTCGTAGGGCGAGGTTGACAAACATTTTTTTCACGTAATTACGTAGATATAAAACTATTTGAAGGTATTTTGCATGTCTATGAGAAACTAAATAATTTCATGGGTAAATAGCACATGGAACCAAAAGATAAACAATACAAAAAACCCCTTCTTAGCTCTGGTCCCTAGTGCTTTGTTCAAAGATTTTACATATTCTTCTAGTTTAGTGGTTCTCAACCTTCCTAATGCTGCAACTGTTCGGTACAGTTCCTCATACTGTGGCGACCCCAAACCATAGAATTATTTCATGGCTACTTCATAACTATAATTTTGCTGCTGTCATGGATTGTACTGTAGTCTGATATGCAACCCCTTTAGGGGTCGTGATCCCAAGGTTGAGAAACGGTGCTCTAGTTATTTTCTCTGCACATGCCTGCTTCTATAGACATATATAAAATAGTTAATATCCATATGACAAGCTCCTCTAGTTATTTTTGATAACAATGCCTATGTACTTTTAAATTATTATTTGTTTGATGTGTATGGGAATTTTCCTGCATGTATGTCTAGGCATCATGTGCATGCAGTACCCATGGAGGCCAAAAGAGGACATCAGATTCCCTGGGATTGGCATGACTGGGAGCTGTGAGCCTCCGTGTGGGTGCTGGGAATTGAACCTTGGTCCTGCTCCCATCCCATACTTCTGTATAAATAAGTTAAAGATTAGGTTGCATTGAGTCTTTTTTCTGTTGTGTGTATGTGTGTGTGTATGTATGTGTGTATGTGTGTGTGTTTGTGTGTGTATGTATGTGTGTGTGTTTGTGTGTGTATGTGTGTGTGTGTTTGTGTGTGTATGTATGTGTATGTGTGTGTCTTTGTGTGTGTGTCTGTGTGTATGTGTGTGTGTCTGTGTGTTTGTGTGTGTATGTGTGTGTGTCTGTGTGTTTGTGTGTATGTATGTGTGTGTATATGTGTGTTTGTGTGTGTATGTGTGTGTGTTTGTATGTGTATGTATGTGTGTGTATATGTGTGTGTATGTACGTGTGTGTATGTCCCGCGCTTCTGTCTCGCCAGCAAGAAACACGCGGAACACTAGGATCCTTCTGCAGAAAAGCTTTATGTCTCTTGGGAGCTAGAGCATAAGCCACATGGCGGAGACCCAGATAAGATGGAACCCATCCCTTATAAAGGAAACAGACCCTGCTTTGGACGTGTCATTCTTGGATTGGTCAACTGCTCCCAGTCCCAGGTGAAACCTTGGGAGTAGTGGAAAAATACCAACACGTGTGAGCTTTCTAGCTCACCTGGCGGTGCAGCGCCATCTATGGTGGAGAGTGTGGTTGCGGCCTTCTACATCTCCCCCTAATTTTACTTCTTTGCAGAAAGGCAACTCCCTAGGAAGGTAAAGATAGAGGTCGCACTTCCCAAAATGAAAACATTAAAATGGGCTTACACGGAATCTGTCCCTAGGCTCATGACACCTGGAACCTATCCGGCCTGCCCTCTGCCAATTTTCTGGGAAAGGGAATATACGGCAGGAAACCCTTAAGCAGAGCGACTTATCTCTCAGAGAGGGTCATTCTCTGTGCGATGCTCTTCAGCTCGACAACCTTCAGGGCTAGCTAAGCCAAGCACTCCATCCTGTGCAATGGACCACAGTCCTAGGGGTGCAGGAGCTGGTTGGCTTAAACCTTACTGCTTTAACATAGATAACCACACATCAGTAGAGGCCCCCTGTTCCAGGGCAGCCAGCGCTTGTGCAATAACCACTTTGTCCCTACGATTTTGGGATTTGAGTCAGCAGACCATCCAGAGGAGAAACACTAATCCATAGCATAGGACTGTTCCAAAACATTTCCACCCCCACCCATTCTTTGAAGTAGGGGAATGAGAGACACGGCCCAGGACTGAAGTCCTACGGCCAAGCTTATAAATCATCTCTAGGACGGTAGGGAGGGGGCCCAGAGTCTTATTGGTTGTAAAAAATCGGGGAGACACCGCCATCCTATGGTTGACTGGTAACAACTTCAGGAAGGCTGAGAGTGTCCTCCATCGGTGTTCTGTCATCCATCCGCAAAATGGCAGGAGGAACAGCAGCCAGGTCCTCAGGCGAATCCGTGTGTTGTGGATCACTCTTCACTGTTCGGGTCAATCGCTCTGGCAGCCAGAATGGGCTTTCTTGATCCTGTGGGAAGACACAAACAGCTCCCCTGGATCTCAATAAGATGGGATCCGGGCCTTTCCATTCATTAGAAAGCACATGCAATGGAATAGAAAAGAAACAATCCTTAATATCTATTATTACCAGACTCCAATTTTTGGGCAAAGCTGAAAGCACCGGGAGTCCTCGCTGCACAGGCCCAAAGAGGTGCATTTGTTCATTAACGGCTCTCAAATCATGCAGCAAGCGCCACCTTCCGGATTTCTTTCTAATGACAAAAATGGGTGTATTCCACGGAGAGGTGGATGGTTCTATGTGTCCCAGAGCCAACTGCTCATTAACTAGCTGATTCACTGCTTCCAGTTTTTCAGAGGTAAGTAGCCACTGGGGAACCCATACGGGGGTCTCTGTTTTCCACGGTATGGGCCGTGCTGCCCCAGTGGCGCCTAGGAAAAACCCAGGCCCTGTTTGCTGATATTAGGTTTAGGATTTATTGGCTCCCGTATTCCCTGCTGGGAGCGACCCAAGCCCCTTCCTGGCCTATGACCCATTCTGATCATTATATCTTGGGCCTGAGATGAATATGCATTAGATAGGGTCAATCCCATGCCCTGCATCACGTCTCTTCCCCATAAGTTGACCGGCAGGGGGAGGACATATGGTGTAAAATATCCTGACTGCCCTTCATCTGTTTCCCAGGTTAATCTGGTGGAGCTAATGGTGGGGTTTGCACTGTAGCCCAAGCCCTGTAGGGCATGAGACGACTCAGTAACTGGCCAGGACTGTGGCCACCAGCGCGATGAGATAATACTTTTGTCCGCGCCGGTGTCCAAAATGCCTTCAAAGCATTTACCATTGACCCAAAGGGGCGGTTTGGGTCGATCTTGAAGGCTAACAACCAAGTAGGCTGAATCCTGTCCTGTTGACCCCATTAATCTATTCTCCGGCCTCTGGTGGATGTCTGCCGGGAGAAGCAGTAACTGAGCTATCCTGTCTCCTTTACTGATGGAAAAAACTCCACTAGGACAAGAGCATAGGGCTTGTATCTCAGCAGTGTGCTGACTATCAACGAGACCTGGGTAGACGATTAATCCCTGTAGGGTAAGCGAACCACGTCCTAAAAGCAGGCCCACGCTTCCAGGGGGTAGGGGCTCAGGCAGCTGCACAGGGACGGGCTGTACCCCCATTTGAGGCATTAATAAGAAGTCGGTGGAGGCACACAAGTCCACTCTTGTTCTGCCTCCGAGGGTCCCTCGGTCGTTGCCCTGACGAACTTGTTCCCATATTTTTGGGGGCCCTGGGACCGAGGGCCCGCCATCCCGTTTTTTGGATCATCAATCTGTGGGTTTCCTAATGGTGGGAGGATCTTACCATGGGCGTCCCTAACGGAGCGGCAGAGCTCTGCCCTATGATAACCTTTACCACAGCGTGAGCAAAGCATAGGGGGCGCTCTCTCCTTTTCTGATGACCTACAGTCCCTTTTTAAGTGTCCTGGCTTCCCGCATTTAAAGCAAACTCTTCTGTCTGGCCCTTTAAAAGGGTGTTTTTGTGACTGCATGATGGCTGCAGCCAAACCTGCATTCGTCAGGGGTCCTCCTAGTTCTCTACAGACCCTGAGCCTTTTCTTATTATTGATATCAGAAAGCTTTTGGCCTTGTGGGCCAATGTTCTCCCCCATTTTTACTTCCTTAGAATTCCTGGAGGGTCCTCTTTCCTTAATTTTTTTCCTCACGCGCGCATCTAACCTCCCACTGCATTCAGTTTCTGATATTCTGTCCTGAATTTCCTCCGCCTTTGCAACAACCGCTTGGCAAAATTCATCTTTTAAGCAATTTCTGACGGAAAATAAGAGAATTGCTAAGATAAGCATCAAGGCCTGTATGAAACCTTCCCAATGCGGAGACAAGTCAAGCTCAAAACCGAAAAATCCAGGAACAGACATTACCTCTCTGATTATGCAGACCCTGCAGTTCTGAATCCTTCCTGAATCCAAGGTGAATCCAAGAGATCCCCGTCGGTGCGGTGGTCAGGATTCCTCGGCGTCCCGAGGGCTTCGGCACCAGTTGTCCCGCGCTTCCGTCTCGCCAGCAAGAACCAC